TCAAATTGAAATTCGATATTTTTTTTATAATATACTCTTTTTAGCGTGCGTCAAAAATTCTACATACTGTGAAAGTGTTAAAAAACAAGATTAGATAACAATCTGTTGATATAAAAATCAATTCCAACACATGAGGAAGAGTCTCGAGTAATATTGAGGGAGTGTATGTCAATACTATTCGTAAAGTGTATCACATGTGGTGCACTACATCGTGGCAAGATTTCGTAAGCTAGTTACCTAGTTTGTTAACGTCTTGAGGAGTTTATAAAAAAAAAAGAAGATACGGCCAAGCAAAGTAATATTTAAAACTAAATCTTCAAGTATAACGCCAGCAACTAAATTTGGTAGCCAAACGATTGTTAAAAAGTTAGGATTAAGTTTTGGGTATGTGATTAAGGATTCATTCTTAATAAATATTTACATAATTATTATTTATCAGGAATACTTCCATGAACTGATCAGCTTGTGGGGGATTTAGTTACCAAGTTTTTTCGCTATAGGGGTTTCAATTAACCTTTCTCTTTAACTTCATGCATCCAGCAACTAATAGTTAAGAGTAGTTCAGAGAAAATTTATGTTTGCTATCTTATCAGTTAGGATGATTTGATTTTATAGCTTTATACTATATTCACTACACAATTCGCTGTTTTATCAGGAAAAAAAAAAATTGGCGTTTTTGAACAAAAAAGAAGATAAACATTTTTTACATTTAAAAGAATAATAAATACTTTCCGTGGATATTTTCAATAAATTTACATAAGCTATATGAGTTTTCTACCTTACCGATCCTTAGCCAATTAATTTCATTTACTACAATTAATTTATTGTGCACATTGTTTCTAAATTGCATGTTAACATTCTACAAAGTTTATTGCTTTTTTTATTGTTTAGACAGATTCAATGTTATAAGATTATAGGTTATTGGCTCATAAGAAATCTTTTTAAATCATTGGTTTCTTGAATGTCCATATAAAATTCACCAGGGATATTTAAATGTTTTTATATTCAATATATTATAATAGTTTTCAAAAAGATTCGTCTATGGAGCTAATATTAACATATAGCTTAAAAATACAAAACAATGACAATAAATATGACAGTTTGATTGTTTCAGAAACTAATGTATTTTTATTATTACTCTTAATCATTGGTAGCATTAGACAAAAACTTTCAACTAAAACTATTAATCAGTTTCTAAAATATTAATCATTGTAATGAAAATCTTGTAAGGTTTTATCAATTAGTTACATGGTTTCATAGTATCATTAAAGCTTCATCTCATATAATAAAATTTGGTTTTCTAAATTTTGTTTCACTGAACATAAGCTTTTAAAATAATCTTTAAATGTACCCAAATTTTAACGATTATTTAAAAATCCTTATAACCTGCTATGGCATAATATGACATGATCCTTTGATTATGACTGTAATTGTATAACGTACCAAAAACTGCCCATAAAAGTGTATTAAGTACTAGAAAAATGTCACTTAATAGGTAGAAGATATAATAGGGTCGTTGTGTTATAAGTAATAATTTTTTTTATTTAGTTACGAAGTTTTGTTACTTGAAAAATCGTAAGTAAATAAATCTATTGTAAAGGTAAATCATCATAACACTTGCTCCACAGTCGTATAATCAATAATGAGACAGTACACGAAGTGGTAATTCGATCATGACTTTATTTTAATAATTAACAAAACTGCTAATATTTCGACGTCATGCTGACGCCATCCTCAGAGCAACAATGCAAGTGTTAGGACACAACATAACACTGCAAGCGAAGTGACGAAAACTTGTTGCATCGTTACAAATTTACAGAAATAATTGTTTCGTAAAAAATTTTTTCATTCAAAAGTAATATCATAGAATGTACGCAGGTAAAAAGCAAAAGACTGTACATAATAAAGTAAACGGAAGATAAAACTGAGGGGTTAACCCCGAATTATGAACTAGGCTATGTATAAAGTGACACAAATTTTTACTGAATGCTCACTAATAAAAATACAATAAGTTTAATACAAAAACTATTCAATTAAAACGAAAAACAAAGTGTAACGTAGTTATTTTTCAAAATCGGTAATAGTAAAGGCGCGTCTGATATCTGGCAAAAGTGTGTTCCTATTGTATACAAGCACGTTGGAAGAAAATCATGCTCTTAATCAGATATGGGAGTACACTCAACTTGTATATTAAGCTTAAATTAAAGGCCACTAGTTACGTACAATACACAAAAAGGATTCAAATACCTCTAAAGAGTACCATAATCCATAAAAGATTAAATTCTCTCATAGATCTTAATATAATCCACATGCATGATAATGGGTGATCCCTGAATAATATCCAAAGTTTATTATAAAAAATAGTAAATGAAAGAAGACCTACATAGTGATTCCTGGTGAACACCGGAATCTAAACTATACTCAGTCGACAAAAGCTTAACTAGTGTAACATTTTAGGTCTTATTACTCAGATAATACTCAATACTAAGATAAATGTGTTTTGATTTTAATTTAATAAGTATACAGTTCTTATCTGAGACATACACATATGGCACTGAATGATGAAATACATTAAACTTTAATAAAAAATTTAAGTTAAATTCGATTTAATTACTTTAAAAAATATTTTTGCCTTACTGCTATTTTATCTTAAAATAATTTTTAACTAAAATAAATGCACATAGCAAACGTAAAAATTTTATCTAACCTAAACAACACAAAATTTTTTACAAAATTCAATTAACATCTTAATATTATACAAAAAACAAGAATAAATTAACTCAAATTGCATACTTACCAGTGCTTAATAAATAAAATAAAATACATAAAAGGTATAGATTGTGTAGTCTAACTATTTTAAGTTATTCTAGAAATAAAAACTTTGGTTTCAATTCTTTCACCTGTAATTATTTGAGTTTTAATGTTGTGCTAAAACAATTTTTACTTTAAGTCTTGTACTATGTCACAATGTTCCTGAAGTATACAAATTTCTTATAAATATGGAAATAGCCTGAATTTTCAAATTTAATCAACAGGGAAAAAACGACCCTCTTTAATAAGATGTAAACATTAAAATGGTATTTTTTTTATCGAGTTTACAAGTGAAATGGTATTCGCTTTATGCAAATAGTTGGTGGGGATAACAGAAAGCGATCGAAGAGCCTATGATAAGAGAAAAGTGCAGAATTTCAGGATTCTTGCTAGCACAATGCACGGTCGACAATACAATTTTCAATGCTCCATGTTTCATGTTTGGATTGTCAAATGTAGATATAATTGGATTTACTACAAGAATATTTTTTACATTTACTTTATTAAAAATGAGTTGAAGTTTGTAGTTCAATAGTTTACTGATAGCGAATGAAATATTATGAGTAACAGGATCACATGACAGAACCGTCATTAATAGTCACTTATGCCATAAGTCATTGTAGTAACTAATTTAGTTTTTTCTGCTTCGATACTACGTAAACAAACTTACGTTATAAGCTTTGGGGTCGTGTTCATTTTGTTATTATAAATGCTGGTACAACCTTTTGCTTCCAAATTTTGTATCACTGAGCACTACGATATTCACAGCTATTGGAATTTTAATAGTTTTCACGTATAGCATCCTTATCAGTCTGAACGATTGTTTTTATCACTTTGTAAGTCTAGAGTCCTATAATTGAATCTTAATACAATATTTCTTGAAAGATTGATGGGTAACATGATGAAGCCTGTTTTTTACGACTTGGATGGCGTAGACTTATTGACGTGATGAAGCCTGTTTTTTACGACTTGTATGTCGTAGACACAATGATTTTTTTACAGTAGAAAAATTTAAAACGTAGAAATTAAAGTAATTTTAAATAAATTTTTAGTTTTAAGAATACATTAAAAAAAAATTATGAAATTGAAAAATTAATAAAAATAAACTTTCTATCAAACTTCAGTGGATGACGCGCAAAATATACAGGTTGCAGAATCTTTCAGTTTTTTTAAATAATTTTTACACATTTAGCTTGACTAAAATTTTCAGGTTTGTTTCTGTTATCGTAAGAATCGAGCTTCCAAATTATCCCAAAGTAATTAAACTATAAAACCAACTTTTATCACCGAAATAATAAGCTAATTGATTTTAGTCAAGTAACAATCTTTATTTTAAGAATGTCAGTCATCTTAACGTAAGATTAGTAAACGTAACGAATCTAAAAGAGCAGTTATAACTTAGTTGATTCGGAGCCAATCTGAGGTACGGCTGCTCAAGTGGAATAATGGTTCGAAGTTTAGTCGCGTCAACTTTTTAACAGATGAATTTGGTTGGAATTTTTTCTCGAGTCTCACAGCTAGCTCTGCATTTCAGGGCAACCCAAGAGTAGACTCCATAGGTGCTCTAGGTGTAGGGGAGTGATAGGTGCAGTTTTGAAGGCTAATTTAGAGTTGAAAGCGGAGTTCAGAAGAGTTAATTGAGTGAAAAATTGGAACAGGGATTATGGGTTTTAGATAGTTAATGAGAGACGGAATAAGGGTTTCACTATTTGGATTTGTTGGATTAACACTCTTCACACCAAAGTCATGAAGAGTGCTAGTGGAAGTTACATGAGTGGTACGAAAGTTAAAAAATAATTTTTTCAGTCATTGCACATACGTAATCTATAAAAAATTTAGTTGATTAACGGTGTGATTTTAAGGTATAAATGTATTTTTTACGTTAATTTTTTTCATACGTATACTAAAATTGCAGATGGATGTATTGTTAGTACCATTTGATTCATATCCTAACTTTTAAATTATTTGGAATGGTTTCAATACATCTGTGATATTAAAGTTTTTAAAAATTTTAATATCATACCTTAAATGTATTTTTTTTTGTATTCAAGTAATTTAAAAATCTGTTTGTCAGGCTTTAACAACATATATCAGTGTACAAAATCTGATACAAGTAAAAAAATTATATACTGACGCTTAAAAAAAAAATAAAAAGTAAATAAAATAATGAATTTTGAAAATCTAAGTACCTTTGGTTGAAATTTGCTCTAGAAATCCAGTGGGTGTCTATAGAAGACAGGCCTTTATTTTTGTGCCATCTGACTTCCTTATGGCAAGCCGAGTCAATAACGTAAACAATATCTGGCACTGTGATTCCAGTTTCTGCAACATCTGTAGCTAAAATGATTTTCCTTTTTCCCTGAGGTGTTGGTTGAAAGATTTTACTCTGATTTAAGTAGGGTATTTTTGAGTGCAGTGGTATGACTTCGAATCTGTGACTTTCGTACCTATCCAGAGTGATTTGGATTCTGTATATGTGGCTCCAGCCAGGCAAAAAACAAAGAATGGCGCCTGGTGGTTTGGCATTATCTATCCAGCGTATCAAATCTGTTATTTGGTCACAATTCACGTTCGGTTCAGCATGATCTTCAATTATGTCAAGAGGTTTGTGGAAAGGAATATCAAGTTCGTACATGTCATCCATTAAATACGTTTTCACTGGAAATATCCTGCCTGGAACTTCGACCGCCCTGCAGTCAAGATATTTTTGGAATAGGTCGGCATTTATTGTTGCCGACATAACAATAACCCTTAGCTTAAGGTTCTTTTTCAACGCACGCTTCAACAAAACAAGAAGCATATCCGTATCAACGCTGCGCTCGTGAGCCTCATCAACAATTACATGAGAGCAACCTTCAAGATTTGGATTATTTTGTATCTTTTTTAGTAAAATTCCAGTTGTACAAAACAGAATACTACCGTTTTGTTTGGGCAATACCTGCTGGAGACGTACTTGGTAGCCTATTACATCGCCAATATGCTCGTAACGCTCGAAGGCGACTCGTTCAGCCAAGGATATCGCCGATATTCGCCGTGGCTGCGTCACAACCATGTTACAGTTGGAGCCTATGCCCTTCTCAGTCATGTTGTCGATTATGAACTGAGGCACTTGCGTTGTTTTGCCACAACCAGTATCACCTTTTATTACTAGAGCTTGATTTTCCTCCAACTCTCTCAAAATTTCTGATCTTAGTACAGAAAATCGTTAATTATAAAATGAATTTAAGTATTAAATGTTTGATTTATAACAAATTTTTTAATTTCATCATATTTTAGCAGGAAATTTTTGGTATATTACTAATAGTATTCAGTTGAAAAAAAGATTTTACAATATTTGTGAAAAAACTCACTTATATCGAAAAATTGGAAGATCAAGGCTCGATACTTTTATTCGGCTTCTCAGTCTCTCTGCCAAAATACTGTTCCTCATGTCGTTCTCAACGCTAACAAATGAAACAGGATGCATTTTCAATAGTTTTAATCTACTATCTTGAAAATGTGTTGCACTTTTTTTGGCAACCACAGTCAATGCATTTTGAATTTCCTAAAATTAAAGTTTTGGTGATTTTTTTTGGTGCCTTATTCAACAACTTGTCAATTTAATATGGTACATGTCAACTAGGTATTTATTTATCAAAAAAACGAAAAACTCTAAAAGCGCTTACATGCTCATGTTGATCAAGAAATTGATTAAGAGTAGCTAAAATATTTTCATCTATTTTTAATTCATCAGGAGTCTTCATCATGGAGAGTTTTTCCTGTTTCTCATATATGATAGGCAACCGATTCTGAACCTTTTTAGTTAGATGTAACCAATATAAACATTTCAAAGCTGCTGACTCAGAAGCTACCGCTTTTGAAGACGCAATACTTGTGAATGATTTTTCTTCAGGCCACTTAACACTGTACGTACTAGACCAGACCATTTTTTTCTTCTGATTTACATGCTTGGTGCTTACAATCATGGGATTCAAAATCTTAGTTTCATTTGCGACAATAGTATAAACATTATGTAGACATACTTTTGCTGACGGAAATTTTTTTTCAATTACTGAAAAATCAAATATTTTTAATGAATATAATTTAAATATTTGAAATTTTACAATTTATAGTAAATTAAACGTAAATATAGTTAAAGTATTTTNTTTTCATTTAAACTGTATCAAGAGGTTTCTATTCTGCGCACATTACACAATCACACAACTGTCATTGAAATGTAAATTTTAAAAACTTTAAAAAAAAATTCCATAATTAGATTTATTTTAATAAATAAATTCAATCTTTAATCAACCAAAAAATCTGTAATATTTTTGTTTCACAAAATCATAAATTTTACTTCTAACCAATAGGAAGACTGGTTCACACCTGTGACACCTGAGGCCCATTCATCTAAGGAGGCATAACAAATGCTGTTAAAACAAAAAAATTACGCAACGAAATGCTCAACTCGAAAACTATAGCGTGAGTTAACGAGAGTAGGAGCAAGTCTCGATGCGAAAAATGCCCGTTAGAAAAAAAATGGATGTTTCTTAATAAAAATTTCTAGGTCAATTCGAAGATTCAAAACAAACAAAAAAAATCAGATTATTTACTGAACTTGGATTAAGGTTGTTTCAAACGAATAACAGCAAATCGTTTTAGTTCTTAAATATCAAATTAAAAGGTTTAATTAAAGAAGTTCTATTTACAAGTGGTTGATTCAAATTAACAAAATGTCAGTTTCTGGCTGATTTAAACAAAAGGAATGAGAGAAGTAAGCAAAACGCAAAACAATCAAACTATCAACGAAGAAAAAAAACCGCGTCGCAAGAACAAAAGGTTGCCGATTTCGAAGGAGAGAAAATTTCGCAGTAATCAATAACTCAAATTATAAGCTTTCTGCGATGAATTACAATTTGACTCTACAAAAAATGTAAGCAGAAGGCCAAAAGGCAATCAATCGACTGGTAGAGACACGAAATATAATCCACGCTTACCAGTCAGAGGAGGAAGACGAACGAAGCGAGATGCTCTGGTCAAGATGTCGTCGAAAGAAAGGATTTTCTTTGACTCGGCCTTATTTCCCTTATAATTGTTCCGCTACCGGTGCTCTGAAGTCCGAGAGACCACTGGAGGCTCCGTGGAACCTCGAGTATGGTTCACTCTAAAGAACCCCCCACGCCCCGAGTCGTTCTCGATGGAAGGGACGACTCACGCAGTTTCTCCTATTAGTTAGCTTTTAGGAAAGTAAGAAAGGGACATAAGGAGCTTCAAATGTGTGAGTCGTCTATTTATCCCCTGTTGTGAACTCGCGTTAGAATATACAGCCATCTCACTTCTACAGCCTTCCTCCTCGTCATAATTACACTTTACTCGTAAAGTGAACAAATGCATAAGAGACACAGGAAGTACTATGTACGAAAACTACCATTTTTGTAACGTCATGATTAAGAAAAAAAAAAGAAATAGAAAAACCAATAAATAAAGAAAAAAAAAATTGGATTTTAGTCTTTCAAGTCTTCATAGAAAAAAAGCAATACATCTCATTCTTTGGTATCCAAACAGTAAATCATATTGCGTCAGGTAGCACGTGTTACCCCGCAAAATTTTGAATTTTCAGGGTATGCATGTAAAGAAAAAGTATTTTCTTAATTTAAATTTCGTGGCAATCTAGTTACATATCGAAAGCAGTTATAGATAAGGATACACAACATAGTGTAGGAAAATGTGTGGAAGACAAAGAAGATGGAGATTACATAAGAAAATACACGAAATTATTAAAACTACAGTAAGATTTACAAATAAAAAAGAAAAAAAATGTATATAGTGTAAATAAAGAATGTAATGAAGAATAAGCTTCGATTATCGTTTTTTTATTTATAGGTAAGATATTGTATATTGATGTATAGATAAATAACTTATAAAATAATAAAATTAATACTTTGTTTACAGAGAAACAAATTTGTTTTATTTTTTGAATTTATAATCTCGCATGTACTTTAGTTTTAGATATAATGAAGAGATTTCATGGGAGAACATGGTTGAAAAATCAAAATTGGAACTTAACGGAAATGATAAGCATATTATAATGTAGAGAGACTCAGCAAAGTCATCGTGATATCAGTGTTATTTATCATAGAAGTATATGATCTACATCATTAAAATTCTACTGAATTTTCTGTCTCTGGCTCAGCATTATAAAGCAGCCATATGAAGATATTATTCACTCCATGCAACACTTTACAACAGCGCCACTAAAGGAAAAAATTATTTATATTTACTCATTAAAGCACATGTATTTCTTATGGAAAAATATTTTTTTCAGTACAAAGCGGTGAAAAAATTCAACTAAGTTATGATAGATCTATTAATGCCTTGAAAAAGTGTATAAGGCGTCATGGCCGCTAACAGGCTATGTTATTCTTTTGAGTAAGTACCGCCGTTTATCTTTATGAAGGTGACGCTGATATTTGAAAAAAAAAATGTTCAAGAATGGATGTAGTAAAAGATAAATCTCAAATTGAAATACTAAGAATATCTTTAGACAAGCCCTGCCTGGATTGGTACAGCTCCATGTTAACTAAATGAAGTATAACCCCTTAAGAATGGAAAAAAATTCTTAGAAGCCTTCTCTAGTTGTGGATGGGATACAGTTACATATGCTTTAGGGTTTAAGTACAGAGAAGGACTACCAACCGACTATGCTATGAAAAAAGAGAAACTTTTATTCGATACGAATAAGTCAATAAACTTCATCACATTGGTTGCTATTATTGCAGCAGGCTTACCTGGATATATCTTAATTAAACTGGTTAGAGAGGAACGTAAAGATACTGTTAATTTGTATAATGAACTAAAAAAATATGAAGGTATGATGGTGAAAACAAGTTTTATAAAAAATAAAGAAAACAATAATGATTATAGAAAAAAGACAGAAAAAAAAGACCATGCAAAAGTTTTACAGCGTGACGAGGCAGATCAAGTTTTAGTAGTAGTTATCTCTCTCTCTCTCTCTCTCTCTCTCTCTCTCTCTCTCTCTCTCTCTCTCTCTCTCTCTCTCTCTTTTGACTCAGGCAGTCCGATGCTCTAGAACTGCAACTGCTTCATACTAAGCTCGACGTTTACAAGCACTCGTTTACTATTGGCGCTGCCAGGTAGTGGAACTCCCTTCCTGCTAACTTGCGGATTGACTCCCCGCTCGTTAGATCTAAAAGTCGGCTTTTGCGTGCAATCAAGGAAAAAGATTATAAACTGAACTCATAACGAATTAGCTTTCTTTGTTTATTATTATATATTACTTATTTTACTTTTTGTGTTTATTATACTTTTACATATATGTCTTTCAGCACTATTATCTGCGACTATCTTGTATCTTGGACCTGCGTGTCCTCTAAACTCATCTCATGTACTTAATGCTAAGGCTACTATGGACTTTTGGTCCTTAGCCTAATAAATCCACTCTACTCTACTCTACTCTACTCTACTCTACTCTACTCTACTCTACTCTACTCTCTCTCTCTCTCTCTCTCTCTCTCTCTCTCTCTCTCTCTCTCTCTCTCTCTCTAACTGGGACGCAATTGGTTGGGACATTTTATTTCATTAGAGTCAACCAATCGCTTTTCAACTAGAGTGAGATAGCTACTACATGTTCACTAATCTCATTCCAGCTAGTGAGATAGCAGCTACTAAAATTTGGTCAGCCTTGTCACTTTTAAAGCACTGCTATGCTTCCTCCAGAAGTATATGCTTTAAGATGTGAACTTATCGACGCCTCGTGTGAAAACCAGCCCAGTTCAGATTTTTCAATGTTATTTTAAATGGAAAAATCTGAACTGGGCTGGTTTTCGTCCAAAGCGTCGTTATGTGAGCTCATGCAGAAGTGGAACACCAAATAACAAATAGTATGTATTTGTGTTGTAATTAATTTTTAAACATTTTTTATTTCGTTATATTTTGATAAAATCATCGATGGTTGCCTGGGGCTTATAAGAGAGTTGTTTAAGCACCACAAAAAACTACTTGTTTTTGGTGCAGATAATAAATAGAGGTGGTTCTACGTTTGTCATCTACAGATAAGACTGTATTAAAAAGGTGAACTCAGTTTTATAGAACCCCACTTATTATAAGAGAGTAAGTAAAAAAAAAAAGATTCTTTTATCTCTTACTAAGTCTATTAAGAAGATCGTTGATCTTTGGACTCATAGAGGTGTATTTCTTGACGTTGAGATTTGGCCTGCCTTGGATGAAATCAATTATTGTTCTTTATCTAACGCTTACGGTACTGTCAAAGTCCATAAGATGGTGCGCCTATGAGATTGATAGTTTCTTCCCTTGGATAACCTACATACGGCTTAGAGAAGTGGTTTTGTGCCTTTTTTGACAATTTTTCAAAATCACACTCATCGGTTAAGGATTTCTATGAAGTACGTCAGCGACTTCATTAACTTATTGTTCCTATTAGTTTTTCCTTGGTTTCGTTTGATATTGTATCACATAATACCAATTTGCCATTTTCACTCATCAAGGGTTGTGTTAGCAAGTTGAGCGCTCTTGTGAATATCTTAGCTTTCGACAAAAAAGAGTTTTCAGATGGTTTTGACTTTTCAATTAATTCTAATTATTTCATATTTAATCAAAGAACATATCGCGAGACTTATGAAACACTAATGAGAGGTTGTTGTTCCACGTGGATAGCTGAAATAGTACTCGAGTCACTTGAGACTTCCATTGTTCTCAGATATGGGCAGTCTATTCTCACTTATATGAGATATGTAGGTGATTTTTTTTTTATTATAATCAAAATTTTTAATAATAATGATATTTAACAGGTGCTGAACCCTTTAATAACTTTCATCCGTTTATCCAGTTCACACTTGAAAAAGAAGACAGTAAATCAATTTTCTTTTTAAATACTTTGATTACCAGAGTTCCTAAGGCTAAACGTATAATTGACTCATATCACAAACCATCTGCCTCTTGCGAATGTTTAAATTTTTTTTTACATAATCTAGACATACAAAAGAAAGCAATAATTTTTTCCATGATTGATTAAGTATTTAAACTTGCTGATCC